TCTTCAGCACCGGGCCGATCGAGCCATGCACGTTCTTACATATCTACGCTTTGTAAGAAAGTAACAACTGAGTAGTTCACGATATTTTGGCGCTTCCATTTCTTGTTGTACTCCAATAATTAATGGTTTTCTTTTTGGTGTTTCTATAAGAGGGAGTATACGTGGTCGGTCAAGTATTTTTCATGGGGAGGTTGGTTTGGTCCTACAGATTGTAGATTTCGGATGGTAACCCGACATGATTAATGAAGTTGTTTGAAAGAAACGAACGTGGTCGATGGCTCGATGCATCAAAGATGCACAGAATGGACGTTACAAGGACTATTTCCCCAAACTAATTAAGACTGTTTCTCGAAGAAGAAAAAAATTCTTCTCTTTGTCGACCAAACGCTTGAACTACATCCGGGTATGATGTTATTGCGAACCTTTAATCATGTAGGTTTGTGTAAGGGAACAATATAAGATTTGTTATAGAACGAGCGAGATCTCATAACTGTGCGGGTCATTGGGGCTAACTAGCTCTAATATGGCGTATCATGTCTTGTGTTTGAATCCTTGAGGTGTGAAACGAACATGCGGACTTCAATTTAGGGGCGTCAGTCATCAGGCGTAAAAGAAAATCATATAAGATCTGTTTTTAAAAAAAATTCTCAACAATTTGGAATAGTAGCATCAACTACAATACTTGCTATCAATTAGTTTTATGGTTTGTTAATCGTTGATAATTCCCTGGTCTCAAAGTTTCTATGCTTGTCGGTTCTTACAAGATGCCCTAAGTATAGAAGTAGCGCTAATTAAGTGTTGATCGCGCCAAATTACCCGACCAATCCATCTTTTTTGTTACCGTCAAATTCAATCATGGGTAACAAAATATTAGCGTCTTGTTGTGTTAACCACTGCACATGGATGATACTTTCAGAGACTGAAACAGCATGATTATAAACCCAAAGCCTAAGAGCGGCTGTCGTGTATGTTTTTCTTTTTTCACTTTCATTTCCGAAAAGCATTGGGGTTCTGTCTTTTCACCATCGTTATTCTCCTCTTTCAGGGGGCAAATAATATGCTTTTAGATTCTGTTTTTGACGCTTTTCATATATTGGCAAATCATCTGAGATTCCGATGTGTTAACTTCAAAGATCCAAAACTCTACTGTTTCACAGCAGTGGAGGAACAATACGTGTTTGGTTCGCGGTAGGTACTAACGTGTTTGTACCGTGATATTTCTACCTTTTTTGAACTATGTGTAAGTACTAAGTAAAATTTTAATATCATATGACGACTTTTAAGAATTATGTTTTGTGTATGGAAGATGTGGAGATTGGTGCGGTAGGACTAACCATCTATACTCTTCTACTGCAACTCAGAATGTGCACAGCTTTTGGGTAACTTCAAATTCGCAATTGATCTACGAGGGAGTGATAGAGAGAATAGAGAGAGAGAGAGAGAGGTGACAATGGCGGAGAACGATGAGTGAGGGTATTGTATGTGCAAAAAGTATTCCTACCTATAGACATTGGAGTAATCCTTCAATGATCAAGTCAAATCATAAAAAGTTCTGAAACCTTGAGAGAGAAAAAAAAGAGAGTGGAGAATGTGTTATGCTTTGGTGGATGATGAACTCAAGATTTTATGAAATCACAAGGTGGTTTGACCTTTTTTCTTTCTTTCTTTCTCGGGGTTGTCGTGCATCATTCAGCTGGTGGACACTCATACGACATCAGAGAGCGGGCTCGAGATTCCGAGCTATCTCGTGCCTAAATCCGTCAGGCCTCAATGTAGTTCAGGGTGGACATCATCTCAAGATTTTCAACATGCATTTGACATTATCACAGATCAAGCGCGCGCTATGCACGACTTCTATAGCTCCGACCGGGGACGTCCAACCTTCCACTAATTGGGCCCAAACCTTTTTCTACTTGCCAAGGGTTGGGCCTGCGCCTAGGCCCATCTAACACAGTCCCCACTCCGACACTCCCTCCCCAAAGAGTTAAAACTTCTCTAATGAACATCAATTGGCCATATCATTATTGAAGCAAAACCCAAGCTCCATTTCTTTATAGCAAACATAAGTCTTTTTGCGTGATGCTAGCCATCATCGTCTCCGGCCGGGACCAATCCGTTGGGAGTCGTTATCCTGCTGTTGGGCTTTTGTCGCCGGCCGGAAACCCTTGATCCTTGTCCTCACTTCATTTTCCGACACCATCCCGTGGGACCCTTGTCTGCTACAACAAGTCTACACCATTTGTTTTTCTGTTATCTTTCATTTTATTTTCAATTAAGATAGTGTTGAAAATTAGTGAGCTGGGTTTTTTTTTTTTGGTTTTTTTAAAGCTCATTTAAACAATAATGCCGTCACTTTCGCAAAGAAATATTTGTAACTAAGTTTTGCCCAAGAGTGAGTGAAACATGCCACCGCTTGCCTATGGGGATGCTTGCTTGCTTGCTAGTTGTTAGCTGGAGGATGTGAAAGTCTGGGATTTCTACACCAAAAGAATTTTGTCTCCCTCTTAGAAATATCTTTCCTTCACAACCATTTTGACACTTCTATGGCAAACCGCTATGATCACTCGTTAGATCGAAACGAGTTTCCAGAGTCTAGAACATATATGATTCTAGCATATTCCTCATCACCCCCCCCCCCCCATAAAAAAAATTGTGACGAGGAACACCATCTGCCAAACCGTTGTAATCACTCGTTAGAGTGAAACGAGTTTCGAGATTCTAGAGCATATATGATTCCAGCATATTCCTCATCACCCCTTTTTTTTGTGACGAGGAACACCATCCACGGTCATCACCTTCGGTGATGCCGTAGTCGAGTCAAACCCCGGGAACTCCGCCAGCAATCTGGGCAAAATGCGGGAACACAATGACAGCGATGAGAATTGAACCTGAGACCTCTCAGGTCACCAGTCCGCTTCCCTTATCACAAGGCTATGTGACCTTTGGCATCACCCCATATTAAAGTTATCTTAGATCATAGAAACTAGGTACAATGAAGCTCTTGATCAACATCATTACGTTTCACGAGGCCATGAAAGCCTTTTTGTCGCCACACGTACTAACTGATCTGTTTTGATCCTTAACAAAACTTCCAACCAACAGACAAGCTCATTGTGTTCTCTTACACCTTTTAAACAACTCCATAATATTGTGGGTTGACCTTTGCCATGCACTTAACTTAACTTAATCAATTAATATAATTATAGTTAGGAAAGCCATTGAAGGTCCAGCTCAACGAACCCTCAACACGAAGCTTGCCTCTTCTTGTCGATCCGTCGAGTAGTCATCTCGCTTCCCTCCTTTCAAATTAAGTAATTAATCAAATTAATAAGAGAATCTCTGTGCCTGCTTTATACGATTTAATAATAACCCACTTATCTTCCTTAATATGGTATTAGTTAATAAAGCGTCATCAGCTTTAGAGATAATTTAATTTTGCTAACTAATTAAATGCGGTTGCTGTAGTTGGGATGTGAGCATCATCATGAGAGTGGCGATCATCATTATAGAAGCTTAGCTTAGGTAGCTGACAAGATTTAAAAAAGCGATGGAGCTTAATTAAGTGATGCAATCAATTGGTCTGGAATCTTATGTATTATAAGCCTTTTTCAAGTGTGTTTTGTGTGCATGAACCGAACCCGCTTCTCGCAAAGCAAAGCAAATGCACAGTGCTTGCCAACCAAAGGTGTTCCTTGTTACTAAAACTTTACTGTGTGTCTTTAGAGCAAACAGAAGGGGTGGCCCGGCTTCGTTTTGAATTAAGCTCACTTTCTTGGGTTTAATTGTATAAGTGAAAATCGACATGAGAGAAGAATGTTGAGATGAGAAACGATTGCGTAAGGATTTTGAGAATTCTATACTAGCAATACGATCACAAAACAAAAGGTTTTTTCTTCTTCTTTTCGATAGCAGCTTGTTGAATACTCAGGTGTACAAGAAAATTAAATCTCTAAATTATTAGGCGACCGGCTTTATAGCATATGTATTTTGTATTGGGGGAGAAAAAACAATATCCTAAAATATGAATGTATTCCAATTCTTATTTGAAATGACAGTTTAGTTTCTAATGCAAATCCCCTCAACCATAGCCGACATTTCCTTCCTTTCTTTTCTCTCATGATGAGGAGGAATATGTAAAGAGGAAGGCATTCTTAAACTATATGTTCAAATTTCAAAGCTAAAAATGATTAATCAAAGAAAACAAAAAGGGTGGAAGGTGGGGATTGTTAGAAAATAAAAAGAGTCCCTTTGATGCAACAATACGTAGTGGAAACTTGTGGGGGCACATTTCTCTGTTCCCCTTCAAATTTCCCCCAACTACATCTCAAACAAAATTCAATAATAATAATAAAACAAAAATAATTTATGAAAATATTTATTGAAAAAACACAAATTGTGTCTTTTGCCAAACACCTACACACCCAAACTTAGTCACAAAATAGGGATGGCAATTAATCCTATAATTGTGGATATCCGACCGTTTCCGATCAAGTCAATGAGAAGAATTCTCGTATAATTAACTGGATACGAGCGGATATGGTAAAACTGTAATCGTAAAATCTTATGAGATGTATATGATTTTGTGATGCTTTGAATTTGAATTAACAACAACTATATGTTTATTGGGTTGATGGTTTATTGGCTCTATTTGATGCTATAATCGACAATATACATGTTTAAACGATTTATTGATATTGATTTTACGTATAATAGTATTGGATATACATAATGGCTATTACCAGCGGGTATCCGGTAACTGTGAATATAAGAATGAATTTGCAAAATTTCTCCTAACGTAAATATATACGAGAAATATAAAAATATGTGCGTTTCTAAATAAAAATAGAAATAATTTAGAAGAACCCACCCTAAATGGAGTACCATTGCCAATTTGCCAATCACAAACACAAAACAAGATATATAGTTTAGTTTACATATTTACACATAATTTTGGTACCTATCCCCTCCCTGCCCAAAATTAAAACAAAAATAAATAATAAATACCGTAATATCTGGTTCCCGCTCTATATATAAACCAAATCCCACAATCCCAACCAGGAATCAATTCACTTCCAACAAATTCCAATTTCAATTTCCCTCCCCTCTCTCCCAAAATGGAAACCTCTCAACAGCAGCAGCACCCGCTCTCAATCGAGAGCTTCTCCTACAGCTGGCTCGCCGCCAACCTCAAACCCTCGCTGGAAACCTTACTTGACGCCGCCGACGAGTACTCGCCGGCTTCCAGTTACATCGAGATGGACCCGCGCATGCCGCCGTCCAAGAGGTTCTTCCGTAGCTACTCCTCCTCCCACGAATTCAACTTCGACTTCCCCGCCGATCACTCGCCGCCGATGAACCACGCCGACGAGCTCTTCGCCGACGGCTACCTCGTGCCTTTCTTCCTCCGCAAGGCGGCGAGTCACCGGGACCACCGCGACCACGATTGTGAAGACGACTCAACGTCGAATTCGGTTGCTTCAAGCCCCGACTCAACCGGCTCGACCATCGATGATAGACCGGTTCGGTCGGGCCTGAAGAAAACGCGGCGGTGCTCGTCGTTTAGGCGGGTTGTGGAGAAGTACTTGGAGCTAATTGGGCCGCTGTTGGGCAAGCTATCGGGCCGCCGAGGTGGGCCCAGGAACCGGAGGTCATTGAGCTCGAGGTCGGAAGGGATGGTCATGGATAGTAGTAACAAGAACAAGAAGAAGTTGATGATGAAGAGATGGCTGTCCTCCTCCGGCGAGTCGTCGCCGCGGCGGGTCAGCGCGGCGTATTCGGAGGACGGCTGGCGGAGGTCGGCTTCGTCGTCATGTGATTCCGAGAGCTCGATTCGAGAGGCCGTCCTTCATTGTAAAAAATCTTTTGGTAAGTGCACATATACTTACTACTAGCTTACTAGATTATCGTCGATCTGTTGAGTTGTCACATCTTTGTCATAATTATAATCGATAATTACGTGTTTAATAAGGCATTTAAATTGGGAATTTGTCTAATCAAATGGTCAATTATGTTGCTATTTCAGGGAAATGATGGGATTTTTGGATGGAGATGAAGTTTGGAAATGACAATGGAGGGGAAATTAGCTAAAGGAGGAGAAAGGAACAAATAATGAGATTGTCCATATTATAATAGACAGAATTCACATGGAGGATTGGCTAGGCTGGAAATGAGAGAGATGTTTCTTCCACTTGTTTCTTGTTCTTCTTTCATGTTAATTGTTGTTGCTTCTTCTTCTTCTTTCTCTGTTGGTGCCCAGCTGGTGGTGGAGATGATATGAGAGGTGTAAATTTGTTGATAAGAGAGGAAAGCTAGCCACATGGTTTTTTTTTTTTTTGTAATGGTGAGGAGAAAGGGGGAAACTAATTAGTTAATTAATTAGATTTATGGAGGAATTATATATATAAAAGATGTTTTGTTCTTTCTTTATTCTATTGTGGTTGGTTCATATTAATGTTTGTTTCCATGGAGGGGAAGAGAGAGCAGGCATGTCCACAGGCTTGAGAGTTGAGGGCCTCATTTGCCTTGTTTTGTAACATAGTTTAGTCGATGATAATATGATGATCGTTATACTTATTGGTTATTAGCAATCTCGATACGAAAGATTTACCGATTTACGCATGTTGCCAGTTTTGCGGATAACTAAATGATGTAAAACATTTGATTGAGTGTTTGAGGAGGTGAATCCATGGAAGTATCTTTAAGGTCAGAAAGCAACTGAGTTATTAATTTGGAACTTTGATTGATGAATAGTGATGTAACTGTTATCCAAGGACTCCTTATTAAAAAAAAAAAAACACCTTAAATTCTAGTTTGGTGAGGCCTTTGGATGAAGCATTTTGTTTTTGCCTATAAGCTAGATTGTCAAAGCAACAAGTGAGATTTTATAGGAGATGATACGCCCTATCTTTATCAATCAAGATTTAGAGTCACAATCGAAGAAGCAACCCGGTTTCATAACCACCTTTGATTAAAACTATGTGTAATCTAATTGTTAGTTTAACCGATATTACACATAGAATTCATTGATTTTGACTAAGGGCAACGAGTAATCGAAATTCGATTTCAACCCCAGCGCCATATTGATCATCAACTCACACCACTCTTTGGAATCCAATTCTCAACTCTTAACATTATTCCATGACATGTATAAAATTCATTAACCAATCGATATTGTTGTTCCCACCATAGCCATAAAGTAGTTTCGGATGCAGAAATATTATCAATTATTTGGGCTTGTTGCTATTTAGGATGAGAATTAATGGAATGTGGATCCCTCAGCCATTAATTAACCTAACTCCAACCATAAATTTTGAGGCAATGCACTTAATTATTAGCTATAAATAGGGACACAAATATGTTATTGTAGGTCTTGTTGGTTATGAACTCATGATGTTGTGCCCGCTGCCTTCCAAGCAACTACTGGTAATTCATAACTTGGTCAAAATCAAAAGCTCTCTAGCTTGCTAATAATCACACCCTTGGATTAATGAATATAAATGGAAGGCAAATTATTTATGTATCTAGACGTTCTTCTAAAACAGTCACGATCTCGTATCATATTGATTTTTGGTACTTTTCACACTTCCGGTTGGTAGTCCTTAGTGCTTAATCATTCAAGAATACAATATAGTTAAAGTTTAACTTGATTAATGATTAAGATAATTTATCGTTAAGATGAATAAAATGGATTAAGTGTACAACCAAAAACATAAGCCTAAAAAATTTAGCAATGAAATGGAAGGACGAGGGAATCTAGATATTCTTTTCTTCTAAGACAAGTCACAACCTTCGTACGGATATCTAATGCAATACAATTTAAAATTAACGATTAAAATAATCTAAGATGAAAATGCTGAACTAAGTGTACAAACAAAATATTATGCCTGAAAAATTTGGCAATAAAATGGAGGTGCGGGGAATCGAACCCCGTGCCTCTCGCATGCGAAGCGAGCGCTCTACCATATGAGCTACACCCCCTTATTGCTCAAATTCTAGAATCAATCCTTCAAGTTGTGCCCAAAGAAATATATTCATATGAATTCATCTTAAAGGTTATATCATTTCACAATAAAATGATTCCTTTGAACCTCAAAATCAACATGATGATTGTAGAGATATAAAAATAATAATTCAATTCATTCAACATTCAAACCTTAATATATATTATTATCTGACTATATTATTATTTTGTTGATATCCCATTAATTAATTATATTTATATACGAATTTTTTCACTGAGAAGGAAAAGGGTACCTTTTTAGTGAATCTGAGTATCTGACTATAGAATGTTTTTGCCTTAATGATTGATTGGACTATAGAATGTTAACACTCGAGTGATTTGACAAACTATACTTTCGAAATAACTAACAAATCCAGTCGAAAAATATTTGTGGAGGAAAACAATTAATTAAAAGAGTGGAAATTATAATTTCCACTTTCTGGGCCCCTTCAATAATCGGAACGGTGTATCATGTAAGGCCTGATAATGACAATGATACACACATTGGGCCCTTCTCACCAAACGAAGGCCCAATTGGTAAAAAAGTACAACATATTATGCGGTGCTAGAAATGGTGATGATGGTCCATGAAACCGTATCGGAGACCGTATCGGAAAAGTCAGCGGTATGATATTTTATGGAAAAATCATGTTTTAATTGTAGTTCAACCGTTAGTACTGTTAAATACCATCTATAGGTTTAGCCTCCAATATTGGTATATTTTGGTTGACCCGCCGGACCGGACCGGTTTCATGGACCATGGTGCTAGATAGACAATGTAAAACCCTAAGCCAATAACTAAACCAATTGCCAATTAATCGGTCAATCATTAAACATGTGAATTTGCAATGGTAAGGATTTCGATGAACTTGATTAAGATTCGGCCATTCGCGCGCGAGTTCTGAAACTGCTGACACGTCTCGATAAGGAAATTAAATTTTGATTATCCCAGTGCAGTCACATTCGATTTCAAATTGAGTATAAATCGTCGAAAACAAAAAAATTCAGATGGGAACGATTGTGATGACTTTGATAAAGGAGTCCGCGATCACATGACATGTAACCGGATAGAGGGGACATGGACAAAATGTGCTAGGAGAAGTAGCCAAACTTTTGATGCCCCATTGATTCATCAGTTTGGTTTGTTTCCATCTTCCACTACTTCCCTTTCCTTTCTTTGTCTTCCACTTGTAGGGATATGTCAAAAAAAAGACGAGCAAAGGCCTTAATGACATTTGTTTTCCTCTTGTAAACTATATGGTATACATTTAGACTCCATAGAGAGAGAGAGAGAGAGAGAGAGGCGTAGGGGACCTTCAAAACATATCCTACAACTGTATTGATTCTTGGGTCACTGTTCGACATTGACAAACATACACACACAATTCATCACCCACGTTATGTTTTTATATAGTTGAGAGTCTCCTCTCCTCCACCAACATTTTGCCCATTTGGAAACAAAAATCCAAGATATATAGTACATATATATGCTGATGTGGAGGAGGATAATGTTGTGGGTCTTCAATACTGTCCTCAAATAATGGTTTTTTCTGAGAGGTATTTTGGAGTAAAGAGATGTCCTTGAGTTGGAAAGATATGAAAGAAGTGTTATATGGGATAGTTCTTTGACATAAATGCAGCCTCAATTTATCCTAGTTGAAGTTGGATAATTTCAATAACTTGTCGGAAGAGATTTGAAAGTACGTACTTGCTGAAATCGAATAGTTCCATAGTACGATATTGATTGTTTTGGGGTCAAGTCTGCACGATTTTATTTTTTGGGTTCCTTCCCAAGAAGTCTCGCGTTAATGAGGTTGATGGACAATTAATATACAAGGGTGAAGGGTCTCTTCCATTGTATTTTCGATGTGGTACTTGAATTGTCCGATAACAATAATAATGTTTTAGTGACTACCATTAAAATGAAAGACAATCTTGGAGGCAAACCCTTTATTGACCCAATTCTGACCTACATCTAACAGAAGAGTCAATGGAATTCAACAATATTCACCATATTCAAATGCCAATTTAGAAAGAGAAATCGACAACTAAATGAAAATAAAATGGAAACTAAACCAAGAGAAGAGAAGACAACATTTGATTAGTTGGGTAAGGGAACGAAGTTAGACAAACAGGGGAACAGATGCCTCGGGGAAGTAGCTTGTGTCGGCTGCAAATCAGACCAACGGGCCGCTCAACTGATTAGCCCGAAGCTCTAATGAAACCTAGCATCATATTAATCATGAGTTGTAGTAGCTCGTGTCGGAATTGACTACAACGTGTCGGAGTTATAGTTCCTACAACTGCAAAAAACAAATCGAGTTATTGGGATAAGTTGGTTTATGATATGGTAGAAGAGCTGATTTATCCTTGGGTCACGTGTTCATAAAGTCCTCGTAACACTCATATTAACCATTGTCTTAAAACACATGATATGGCGGACTTGTCCAAAAACTCAAGATGAGTATGTGCAAACTTCAACCTCTCATAAGTTAACTTTGGTTTGAGGGACCTGTAAGCGTGGTTAAGTACCGTATACTGTTATAAACGCGCTGCTACGGATCGGAAAAATCGCCGGAATCGACAGAGCAAGAATACGAAAGCGAGAATCGAAAAACACAGACACACGATTTACGTGGTTCACTAACACGATGTGTGTTAGCTAGTCCACGGGCGAGAGAGAGAGAGAGAGAGAGAGTCAGTTTCACTATATCGAGGAGATTACAGATTACAGAGGAGTATGAGAAGTATTTATAGTACTTCTCCATGTGGGTCTAAACCTAACATTGAGCCGATACACCGCGAGACCCCCGACTAATCTAGTCGTAGCGACTGATAATCTGATTCAAGTCACATCAACACGTACATTAGTCTTTTCCAACCATTCGAATTATTGCAACCAGATTAACAAACTAACATTAGTTCAATCCACTACGCCCTAGAAGGCTAGCTAGATCTCCCATGTTCATCGGCTGCCATGCATGGCCAGGTCGTGCACATAATTAAGGTAGGTTCATGCATCTAGCAGCTGCATGTGTTTGAATATCATGCGAGAGCTGTTCGGTCTCCGAGGTTTAGGCTTCGTTCGTTGTGGTAGAGTCGTAGAGAGTAGAGAGAGTTGAATGATACAGAGAATGTCAACGCCAATTCGACAGGCATCAGACAGTCAGACATGGAGACCGGTGGGATATGGGCATGCAACGAACGAATTGACTTTAGCTTACTACTCGCTTCTTGGGGTGTGCAATTAGGGATGACAATAGATCGTGTTGAATTGAATTTTTCTAAATCGAATCAAACATGTACATCTATTAAAAAAAATACTTGATAACAATACTTATTAGGTTTTAGAAGAGCAAACATGTTCCAACCAAACTGATATCCAAATGGGTGGATTTAAGAATATAACTATGCATTACTTCTCCGAACATAAACATCGTAATATTAAAAAAAAAAGTTCCTACAAATATATCTTTGTCGACTAATTAATAACGTCCATAAATTAATTATATTGTTCATTTTAGATACAAAATGACGTCGTTTTTATTTTTGGGTGTGGGTTGGAGTCGGATGGAAAGAGGGCCC